GTTGAGAACATATCTTGTAGACAAGTTATTGGAACAGCATTATAACGACAAGTTTGTCTTCTAAAATTGCCTCAGCCAGCAATTTATTTTGCGCCGCCATCTTGGATGTTTACTTTCGTATACTACGCATGCGCTGTTACGACAATCCGTAAGCAGATAGCTTTCGTTCGCCGCACACGGAAAGATTTTGGCACGCGAGGCAGAAATTATCAAACATGTTAGATATTTCGCGTAAGTGGCACGAATGACAAAAGTCGTTCGTAAATCGCCCGCACACGAGAGCTATCTCCTCACGCCAACAGTCACGAATGACATTTTGCTAAGCACATAGCTCTAGTGTGCGCCGGGCTTTACCTCACATATGGTAAACCTTTCTCACTAACCTCACATATGGTAAACCTTTCTCACTGACCTCACATATGATCAACCTTCCTCACTGACCTCACATATGATAATTAAATCTTCCTCACTGACCTCACATATGATAATTAAATCTTCCTCACTGACCTCACATATGATAATTAAATCTTCCTCACTGACCTCACATATGATAATTAAATCTTCCTCACTGACCTCACATATGATAATTAAATCTTCTTCACTGACCTCACATATGATAATTAAATCTTCCTCACTGACCTCACATATGATAATTAAATCTTCCTCACTGACCTCACATATGGTCAACCTTCCTCACTGACCTCACATATGATAATTAAATCTTCCTCACTGACCTCACATATGGTCAACCTTCCTCACTGACCTCACATATGATAATTAAATCTTCCTCACTGACCTCATATACGGTAAACCTTCCTCACTGACCTCACATATGGTAAACCTTCCTCACTGACCTCACATATGATAATTAAATCTTCCTCACTGACCTCACATATGGTAATCCTTCCTCACTGACCTCACATATGGTAAATCTTCCTCACTGACCTCACATATGGCCAACCTTCCTCACGGGTCGCAGCTTTTTTGTAACTCTGGTATGTAATTATAACTGCACTTACCCTGAGCCATCCATAGGGAAGCTTTCTTCCGTATGTAATGCTTCACTATCATATCTGTTGAAGAAATCTTTCAAGGCGACCAAAGATTCTGCATCAGCCAGACCACCAACAACTGCTGCCATCTCCTCACCCTTTAAACTTTGAAGTTTTTGAGACACAGACAACAACACATCTTCCCAAGAACATGAAGTTAAATTTCCACTATCGTCTTTCACCATTGGCGTTGTCAAACGTTGGCGTTTTAAACCATCATAGGCAAACCTGCATGAGAAAGCAATAGAACTGCCGTTTCAGTAATTTATTACTAACCAGGTAATCACTGACTGCGGTTTTAAACAGTACTTCAACTGCAGTACATTTCCCTAATTTGGACATACAGCTATTTCAATTAAGGTTGTCCCCTGAGCAAAGCGGAAAAGTCGAATACGAGCGCGAAACGCTGCTGGGAATCGCTAATAAATGAATGAATTTATTAGCGATTCCCAGCAGCCTTTCGCGCTCGTATTCGACTATTCCGCTTTGCTCGGGGGACAACCTTAATTGAAATAGCAGCAACAATATACAGCTATTTGCAATTGAACGTGAGGCATTGAACATGAATTAAACATCTGTTCATTGTTTCAAACTGGTTGTTTATTGGATGAAGGTTGACGTTACTTGGGGCGAACTTCATTGTCGCTAAGGTAAAACTTTTCTCTACCAATGAGAATGCGAGGTTGTTTACGTTGTACTGTAAAATGAAATTCACAATGTTTCTCCGTACTCTACTTTATAATCTAAAGTAAGTAGCTTGAAAGCACGTGAACAAATCCTGTTCGGGTTATCCCGGGGAATCATTGTGCATTTCATAATAAGTTTGTACTAGACGTTCTCTGGTTTTATTTATTTATTTATTTATTTATTTATTTATTTATTACGAGCTTTCGACTGCCAGTCTGCAGTCTTTAACAGATAAAGACTGCAGACTAACAGTCGAAAGATCGTAATAAATAAATAAATAAATAAATATTGAAAACCAGAGAACGTCAACAAATTTATTATGAATAATCCTGGTTTCGCTTCAAACATATTTAAATTGTGAATTTCATTTTGCCTTACAACGTAAATAACATCAGTCATTGGTAGAGGACATTTTACCTTAGCAACAATGAAGTTCGCCCCTAGTGACAAATGTTTAATTTATGCATGCCTCACGGTCAATTGCAATTGGCTGTAGTTCTTCCCAGTAGAACAACACTTGCTGTCCCAACATTCTGTCCGGAAGGAACAGGTAGGCAATTTGTCGACGCTGACCAAAAATAGCAACTCATTTCTTATTGAGTTTCCATTTTAGCGTCGAAGAGCAAAAATATAGACTTTCGGAGAATATTTTAGCTGTTTACTATCAAATACGTTTGTGAAACAGTTGATTATCTTACTGAGGAAGGCCAACGGTTTCTGAAAAGCTATAGTACGTCGAAATCAGCTTTGGAATAGACTATATTTTCACTGGGGAAACATGAACAAAGTGGATATTTACATCAACACTAAATTTTGCTCGTGCCTACAGAGCTAGTTGGATTAAAACAGATGTTAAGAAATAAGAACTTGAAACTGGCTTTAAATCAAATTTGTATCTATAGTGGTGTTTGTGTGTTATGTTTTGGCTAGTATTCCAAAGGTCGTAGGTTCGAATCCCACCGTGGCCAGGCATATTTTTCAAGCCTGCCCGGTGTGGATATACATTCAGAGTAACATCACACAAACATCTTATTCACCTGAGTACATTACACCAACACAGCAGATTTTATCTATATAGTCTTTATATTAGAATTAAAATCATTCATGGGAAAAATGTGTCAAAGGGTTGAGATTGCCCTTGTAAATGTACACTATTTTTGACATGCTTGTGTTAGTATTTTGAAAAGGTGTTCTGGAAGGAAAATATGTCTTGAACAATACTGATTGGCCCTTAAATTATATATATAACTATAGTGTTATGTAAATCACAGAAAATTGAAGGACTGGATCAAGCTGGAGGACTAGATCCCGTTTTCAAACTTGTTTTTTGTAATAATAGAATGTTTTCCACTAAATATTACAAAGTTTTCGTTCATTAAAATGTTGTTTTATCAGCTTTAAAACCAGATAAATCCACGAAACACTCCTAATATATGTCGCCATATTGATTTTCTGCGTGCATGCTCAGACAAATTGCCCACCTGTTTCCGGAAGGTAATCTATAAAATCCTGTATCTTAAATACGGTACCAAATAAGTCAATTCGGAATTTCTAGCTTCAATCATTATTTGTGTTTCACTCATAGCCACAATTATAGAACTGTCATTAAATATCTGTTTTTTGCACTACCGTATTTTGTCTTCTTTGTATAAAGTAAAATAAAGAAAGGTAAGGGAATATATTTTCTAACTTAAAGCGAATCAACCATGAGGAAACTAATTGTTGCTTGAGCAACTTCTGCACATTCAAATGGTGATTGAACAGTTGAATTCTTTGACATGCATATTCTAATTATTCCAGTCGTAGGTAATGTTATACAAACCTAATCGTACCCAACCGTTGGGACGGTATATAATATCGAAGCCATATAAACACGCATTGTAACTTACCTGGTCTTATCAGAGATCCATTCTTCATTGATATCCTAGAATTAAATCAACATGTATTTAGGAAATATAAAACGAGCCGCGTTCTTTTATGGAAAATGTTTGTGATGTTGTCTCCTGCAGTGTGTCCATACCGGGCAAGCTGAAAAGTTTACTTGACTGCGGTAGGAATCTTATCCCATACCTGTGTTAAAAGCGGCTTTCTGATTGGTTTAGAGCAGGTGAGCTTGTCGTCGAGCTCACCTGCTTTTTGCCCGAACTCACCTGCTTTTCGCCGAACTCACCTGCGAAACTGCTCACGTTGCAATATAAACAATAACAATGGCGGACAAGATTTAGCCGATAAACTAAACTTTAAAGAACTTTTTTCGGTGACTAACCTACTGAGACTGAAGAAAAACCAAAGAAAAAAATGCAATAAAGGTAATCTAGACGTAGATAAAGAAGTATTAACAGCCCAGTGATTTTTTTGGCCGGAAAAATGTTGACAAAACATCGACGAATATATCGCGAAGAGCTACAAATATGTGTATGGCTCGGTGTATAGGATAAAAACCAAACGTACTTGCAGGTTCGGTGAGTCCGGGATTGGACGCACCTCGGGTGGCTGGAAGTTTCTTCTTTATTCCAAAGCTGATTTCAGCGACATTTGGCTTGCTAGTCCAATGCTCTACCGACTTTTCAGGTTACCCGGTGTGGGCACACTCAGAGACAACATCACAAACATGCAAAACACCCGAGACAAAAAAGGAGGGAATGTTGGGAGAACACGAGAAAATGTTCAATTTTGGAATTCTCCTAACATGTAATCAGTGACATCACGCGCATGCTTTTTCTCATCGGTTAGCAACGAGCTTGAATTATCAGGCCGGCGAAGGAACAAAAAGTTAAGAACATTATAAATTTTGGAAAATAAATTTAATAAACTGGAAATCCACCCTGATAAGGAGACTAATTTGCTGTTGTTTTGTTGCATCTTACAAACCGGATTTGGCATGAAATCGTAGAATCCGAGGTTTTCGTCGAGTTGTTCTCAATGTTCTGTTTTAATTTGCTGATACTATCCCTATATTTTTCGTGTTTCGCCGAAGATAATTAAGATATGTCAAGCAGTTTATATTTGAAACATTAAAGGTCCTTTTTTCTGGTGCATTTTGTGTATTCCTGTAGATTTTCGAAGTTTTTTTTCAGTTTAGTTTTTTTTCAATTCAATTTTTTTCAGACTCAAAAACAGCCTATTTATGTCCCGTTGTCTCTTGTTGGCTACTCTTGCATTTGATTTCCGGTCTTTTCTCTCTCGTTTTCTAATACATTTTGAATTCAAACGGACCTCTATGATTCTTCTCCACATTGTCTTGCCAAGAAAGCGGACACAAAGCAAGAAAAAAGTGAAAAACCAAGACAGTGCATTATGTACTATTTAAAGCACGCGTAGGAGTGTTTTATCAGTACTGTATTTCTTCCAATGATTACCCAAATTGTACTTAATAGATAATATTTACATACGCGTTACCTCGTTCATCCTAGGCAGTATTCTCATCACCTCTCCAGATCGCGTACTCACGACGATGTTACTTCCAACCGCATCGAGAACATCAATTGACTCGGTTTTCCTACAGAAAATAAATTTTCACATGGCATGACAAACAAGGATAGACATGCCGGGCACTTCGCGAAATGGTGGGCGGGGGCGAATTTGGGTTACCCTCTATCACAATGCCACCCGTTTATTGCTGGAAATTAAACTTTTCTGCCCTAAATTTCATGCAAAGTTGCATAATTTATAGCCGACTAATGCTTTCATGTTTGTTGTAAAATTATCATATACTGTACTTGTATAGCTTTGTTACAGTGCACATTTATTCATCCACCAGTCAAAGACTTTCAGAAATTATTAGAAAGGGAGGGGGGGGGGGGCGTTTTCCCACTGCCGTTGACAAATGGTATATGTCTTCCATACACAAGCCGTTATCACAGCAGATGTTTTTGCAGAGTTGAGTTTGAGCTACACTCAATCAGTTGGGTAACGACCTACCTAAAATGCTCATGTTTTGTGATTGGCTTTCAGAAACAAAAATGATCATTGTTTGTGACTCGTTCTTAGAAAGACATTTCTATAGTTTTATTGTCTTTCACTGTTATAATCAACGAACCACGAGCCTGAATATTATAGGTAGATGATGACACAATCAGCTCATCTAATTGTTAAATGTTCTATAACTACAATGCATTCAAGCGTACCTCGTTTCCCATGGTCTGGCTGCAAACGCGTATGGTTTGGACGTTAAAGCTCCAACAGGACAAAGATCTATATAATACGAAATATTCACGTGTTGATGTTAAAATGCGAAACACCAGATGCCGCCAAGTGAACAGGACGCATACTAAGGTGTTCACCCCAGCTACGTGCGCCGTGATAAAATACAAAGAAGGGACGGGAGAGGGTTGGCTCATTCATTCGCTAAAGCCTGGTTCACATTACCAATTCTGTGAGTGATTTGTCTCGCAGGGATCCCCCCCTCCCCTCCCGAGAAGTCCAGCACCATGCACCCTAAAAACTGCTTTACCCAGGTTCGTACTGGTCAGAAAGAATTAAAAGACTTTTCAAGGACTTTCGAGGCCATGTACAGTATCAGAAAATTCAAGGACTAAAGGGCAGAAAAGAAGGCGTTAGAAATCAGTAAAAAGTGACGTAAGTTGAACTGTTCAAACGGCAACTTTAATGAATTTTAAACAACTTCGGCCTTTGTAAGATATGAACAAAATCAATTTACAAAATGTCCTATTCTTAATGCCAAACAATTTCAGAAATATCCACTAAAGCAAGAACAATTTAAGGACTTTCAAGCACTTCTATATAAACTCAAGGTCTTTCAAGGTCTTGGATTTTTGTTTCCAAATTCAAGGACTTTCAAGGATTTCAAGTTTTGTATGAACCCTGTTGACCATATATATTCTGCTTTTCGAATACCGATTAGTGGAACTTCTACTGTTAGTGCGTGACGATTTCTTGAAACGATTTAGTTCATTTGTGAGTTCATGATAAAACACTCAGAATACTTTAGTCAAATATATCATTGTTAAATATGTGTCGAGGTTGTTATACAGCCGTATTTTCAAACATACTGTACTTTAACAAGTAAATTTACTGTGCTGTGCTACAAACGTAAAAACGTACAAGTTGTAACAAACCTGCAACAGACTTGTAGCAATGCTGTTCCAACAACTTGTTAACAGGATGTGTTCGCACTGCTTGTTCCCAGCTTGTTGACAAGTTGTCAACGGCTTGTTGACAACTTGCTACAAGGTTGTTGAACTCAACAGACTTGTTACAAGTTGTTCCAACAATTTGTTATCTTCCTGAAATTCAACAATTTGTCAACAAGTTGTGAGTGACAAGCTTGTAGCAACTTGATAAAATAATAGCATTGTTACAACTTGTTGATAAGCTTGCTGCAAGCCTGTTGCGAACACATCTTGTTGACAAGTTGTGAGATTTTTATGTGTGTACAGCAACTGTCCAGTCACGCATGCATGCGTGTGACAAAATAGCCGATATAAACTTTATCAACAAAACGTAATGCACATGTAAAACGTAACAGAACGGCGAACATGCAGGTTCGGCCATCTCAAATAAAATTAATGTTGGGATGGTAGAGTTGCAGATTGCAGAGGAGAGTGGGCAAGGCTCCCATGTGCACCACCCCATGGTTTTCTCAGAGCTGGAAAATGTCAGGCAGCACCAGCAGCACCGCTACCACAAAAATTTTGAACAAAATATCTTCCCGGAAATTTTCTTACATCTTGCAGGGAAATCGTGTCAACACTGGAATGCCATATAATTTACTTATTGTTTTAAAAGTTCACTAAGATTGAAGTTTATCGCATGTGCGCACCATCCGTTCTCCGAAATCTACGATGCAGGAAGTCCTATTGACTTACACAGTTAGGAAACTTTTATTTTTCGATTTTGCTGCCATGAAGGGAAATGTATTTTCTAGGCCTGGAAAACCTGCACCCCTCCTTGCAGGTGAGGCTAGATCCACCCCTGTTAAAGCTAGCACTCAATAAGTATTGCAGTGCTACTATTACACAAGAACGATAATAAGTAAGGAGAATAAATTTGAAACGTGATGACTGTGAAAGAGTCGATTGTTCATAAGCAATATACCTATAACATTGCCAGACATCTCAGATTTGAACATCTTTTCAATGTACGTTCCAACTTGCATGTCTCCACCACGTCCAGTCGTGCCTAACTCGTCAACACCAGCAACTTCACTTGCAAATCTAGACAAAACAATTTCAAAGCTCATTACTCGATACAAAGTACATTTCCAGCCGATAGTTTCTTTAAAAATTCTTAAGGAGTCTTAAGTTTACAGGGTGTTAGCTACAGGTACAGTAGGTTTTCCCTATGGTTTTCCCAATTACCTTGAGGTCGCAATTTCCCAATTCGGGTCAGCCAAAAAATAGTTATAGAAATTCAATGTTGTTAATACGCCATTAAAAACATGTTTATAACTACGTTTCCTCAAAATTACTCCCAAAATGCGGGAAATGCCATTTCAAAGACACAAAAATTGTAAAAATCGAGAGGGGGTAACCGCATGCCCCCAGACCCACAAAGAAATGCCCGACTTCAGGCTAAAATAAATTTCCCAATTTCAGGTACAGCTAACAGTTTTGAATTATCTCACCCTGAACTTGTCAAGTGAAATGTATACACTGCACAGCCATATAAACGGTTTCAAAAATGTGTGGAAAACTATTTCGCTTCTATGCTACTGCTAAGTATTAAAATCAACACCCACATCTAACTGAATATCAAACTCAAAAAGCGGAACCCTTGGCGGTGGCATATATATATATATATATATATATATATATATATATATATATATATATATATATATATATATATATATATATATATATATATATATATATATCACATACTTGTACCTTTATCAGGTAGGAAGCAGCGGGACATAAAAACGATATCGTCCCGGATATCGTTTTTTGTCCCGGATATCGTTTTTTGTCCCGGATATCGTTTTTTGTCCCGGATATCGTTTTTTGTCCCGCTAAATTTCGCGCCTTGTCAAAACAAAGATGGCCGACTCGAGGTTCGTGTTGGTTGATGTCGACAGTTTTATCGAAGGAAACAAGAACGATAATACAAAACGAAAGACTTAAATTGTATATTATTTATATGAATGGTCTATTTATTTTCTAAAATCATATTTGTTCAGTAAATGATCAATTTTTTTGAATTCTAAAATGATCCTATTTTTTCAAAACTGTTTACTTTTGGGTGTCAAACCCTGATAAAGGTACAAGTATATAATAAATAGGTTCTTGTGCTCGGGATTCGGTGATATCAGTTTTATTGCTCTGAGGACTATATCACAATTGACAATTGTGATATCATCCCTCGAGCGATAAAACTGATCTCACCTCATCCCTTAAATGATAACCTATATATATATATATATATATATATATATATATATATATATATATATATATATATATATATATATATATATATATATATATATATATATATATATATATATATATAGCTGTGCAAACTTCGGTTTTTCTGCTCTGGCACCGGCTGCTTTACAGCTAAGTCTCTGGTTGCGGTTGCGTTGGTTCACAACACAGAGGATAAAGTCTATAACCGGATATGGCGGATGTCATTCAGCCCAATTTTTTTCCCAATAAATGTAAAGTGGCGTTATGCAGCGTATCAAAGCATGACGTTTGCGATGTACAACTTTATCTGTGACAGATAACACAGACTGAGACATAGACTACGTTTGCACTTGTGCCAGATAGCTTTCCATAGCCACATAAAAAAAACTCATATCCCTACCTATTAGGAAAGCTATTTTCAGATGAATTATTGCAACGGAGAGATGTTGTTTCGCTCAGCTTCTGAAATTCCGCATCGGATAGGTGCTTTGTCGCACCGCCACGGATGGCTATCCGGTATAGTGTAAACGTCGACATAATGATTTATTGTAATTTGGTCGTTTGCAGTAGCCGAAAATGGCGAAATGGTCTGACACAACTGATACGACTTCACAATTCAATGTCGCCATCTGTTGTAACCAACGCCAATTCTACGAAATTGTTACATTTCCTGTCATTCTCACATTCCAGCCCAGAGCAGGAAAAAAAGATTTTTTTCCTGGAAGCACAACCTGGAGACAAATGCTAAATCTGCATGTGCATAAGCATATAGTGTTCTAGCTGACCATGGTTTTAAATTCAAGAAATAATGTCTGTCGACCATATGTTATTGCGCCCATAGTGGAACATGGGTGTTCAGGTTTCCTTCAAATTTTCAAGATCAAATCTTCATTCAAATCAATTTCCTGCAGCTGTTTAACATTTCCTGCGAGCAGTACTCGCGTGCTCGCCTATTTGTTCCACCCCTGTTCCAGGCGGAGCTGGGAGAAAGCACCGGCAGAACTCTGGCCTCCAGCCGACAACACCAGGCCTTGTCACTGAATTTTATTAGCGAAAAAAGTAATCAACTATAACTTGCTAGGGGAAACATACTGTTCTTCGCTGTAGGTATACAACTATACTGCTCCAAACACTCTCGCTACTTGAAAATCTTAAGGCCCTGTCACACTATTGCGTATCGTACTAGCGTATTGGCGCGTATGAAAAATATCACTCATACGCTGGTATGTTAGGCACAGGTTGTATACGTTTTAAGCACGGTCGCGTACGGTGGCATACGCTGTCATACGGCGAGGCAGAAAAAAATTTTTAAGCATGCTCAAACATTTTGTGCGTATCGGCACACGCTGAATACGCTAGAGGCACGCCAGATGTACGGTACTCAAGGCACGCCAGATGTACGGTACTCATACGTTGGCATTTCAAAGGATTTTTGTGCGTATGAAAATTATTTAATTAATTTTCATACGCTTCGCATACGCTTTTCTCATACGCAATAGTGTGACAGAGCCTTTAGGAACAAACTACAACGCCTTCGCTAGAGGTTACGCCTGTTAAACACAGTAAGAGCATGTACTGTACCTAATACATCTTGTACAGTGAATACATCTTGTCATAATGGTTTTAACTAGAGGTCCGATGTTTTTATCTTCAACGGCCCTAAATTGAAAGAAATTAACGAATTATAACAAATTGGAAATGAGAACATTATTTTTAAACGTATACCAAACTAAATTTATAATTAATAAAGGAAGGGTATAAGGATTGTGAAAATACTACAGTGGCATATTTTAAATATTTTACAGTGGGGAAGGAGAGGGGGGGATCAAGATTAGTGCCCAGTCACAGTGTGGGCTCCGCAGAGTAAGATTTAGGTAACTCAGCGTAAGATTAGCGCCCAGTCTGAGCCACTAACTAGTGGGGCCAGCGGTGCCAAATGGCCCCAGTTTATATGAAAATATTTTGTAGTTCACTTGAATGCAACACTAGGTCCTATGGCCAGAGTCGAACCTGCAGCCCCGCGATTCCAGTGCAACGCTCTAACAAACTGAGCTACAGAGGCGAGTAACTGTCGAGCTGTAAATGCAAGTTCACGTATATATAGATTTATATTTATATAATATACACTCGTCTGTATATTCTAACTTGGACTATCCACCAAACCCAGCAATCATGGCATTTATGTTAAAATATGCCTTGTACAGTAGTTGTGTCATCTGCTACGCAATATCAAATAAATACATGTGTTATGACACAGTGCAGTAATCGTGGGTTTGTGTTTTATATCTTAAAAACATTGATTACAACTCGACAACATTATACTGTTATTATTTCAGTAGCGCTATTTAAACAGTCTATTATATGTCACACAAACTCATTATTGCAGGTACGCTCATATACCTTTTCCCAGAGAAATCATTATCCACGAAACGACTCCTGTCACTTCCAAATGCCATAGACTGATCCTATAAAACACACAGTATATAGTGACATATCCCATATACCCTTTACATTCAGTTGTTCCTTTAAATAAATCTGAACTAATAAATCTCACGGGTTGTTTCACCTGCACGTAATATTCATCTGATGCACAGTGCAGTACCTTCTCAGAAACTACTATCAGGTTCGTTCTCTTGATTAAAGTTTGTTACTTCGTGCATGGAGCTCGTGCGTGAAGTTCGTGCGTGAAACATGCGTGGAATTAGAGGTCGACAATGTGCACAGTGCAGTGCAACGGAATACGCACGAATCCGAAATGGAGCCTGGAGAAGAGGCTGGGCCATTATAAATAAATTGGTAACAGTCAACTACCGGTATATACCTGTAAATCACACTCTCCTCCTTGATCACATATAGGACAATCCAGTGGGTGATTCATAAGCAGGAATTCCATCACTCCTTCCCTGCAATGTATATGTGATGAGAATGAAGTCGTACAATCTTTACCATTTTCAAGCATACGGTATATAATATTAGGGAGCTTAAGCAAGTGATGTTTTTTGTCAACACGGACGAGAGATTGCCGAGGGGGGAGTGGATTAAAAACTGTGTTTGTGTCAGTTTGTATAGTAATCTTCAAAACGTACGACAAAACACAAGATTTTGAAACATATGATTCTACGTTTTGAAAACTCAGAAAACATGGATAAAAGGATAAAACTAGTTTAGTAAATCGTACTTTAACATCGATGAAATGTATACCAAAAGGTATAACATCATTTGCATTGCGAATTGTCCATAAAATAGGCAATTCCAGCTTTTAGTTTATGCGTGCAGGGACGATGGGAAGTAAGGTATCACATTGCTGATTATGCTGAAAAAATAAAAATGGTGGCCGTGTAAACACGGAGTGATAGCTTATACTTGTAAATATTGAAATATTTCGGTTGTTTCGGCAGTTTTTATTGAAAATTTTCAGCATAATCAGCACTATGATATCTTACTTCCCATCATCCCCTGCAGGCATAAACTAAAAGCTGGAATTGCCTATTGTCCTGTGCATAGGACATCGCATAACGCATTAAGTCTTTTTCCATTTGACGTCATCAGTATTGAAAGTGTTTCAAACCGATAGAAATTTTATAACGCTGATACGCGGTTTGGAATCCTTTACTCGAAAACATTTCATCCTATCGTAGTGTGACGTAGAGTTTGCGGATAAAGGAAAAACCCGCACAGCCATTTGGCTTGCGTGATTGGCCAAATGATCATATTTATCCGCAAACTACGTCACAAGGCAGACTTTTTAAAAAGGTCTATATTAGGGAAATCTATCTTTGGATGTGGAAGCACTGACTAAATAAACATGGCGTCCGGTTGTTAAGAAAATTAAAAAAAAAAGTTTAAAAAAAAGGTTAAAAACCGACCTACCCTACCTAAATTTTTACATGAAAAAATGGGAAACCCACATATTTTTTGGCCCTAGTATTGTTCGATGCAGAGTTGATATAAACGAGTATGGTTACGATATTCAGTATATAATTCATATATGAAAATCGTAAACAGTTTTAATACCAACATGCTCCTTGCATGCCAGCTACATTGATTGCGGATTGCATTATCAAATTACCCGAAAGAAACGATATGCATGATTCCATGATTGCTCATATATATAATAAAAATATTGACATGTAATTGGCATATAATAATTGTATAATTTTTTCAAGTAATATTGTCTTACCATTTCACAATACATAAATGGAGCGTTAAGCGGTAATTCGGAATGCGTTCGGATTTGTTCGAGGTTATTAATTTTATATTTTTTTCCGATCTATACCTGGCCTTCCTAGTCATCTCCGAGTCTGTTTTAATCCTTGAACCTTTCATCACAGGCATTGCACAGGCAGCGACTGGCTAAATAATTGAACCATTGCGAAAATGTACTCAGTTACTAAATTTGAAAAGCTTACTTATACCCTCTTCAACTATCAAAATACGAGTTGTTCCAACAAGACTATAATAATACACAACGTTCGTAACAAGTTACTAAGGGCTTTTTTTCATCAACTTGTTAGCAACTAGTTACATGCAGATGACATCAGACTTGTTGGAGCAACTTGTTGTGAGTCCGTTGTTGACACTTATTAAGGAGTTTACGATCTACGAGGCGGCCGGCTCGACGAAGCGCTTTCAAAACAAAGAAATTTGGTGTTTCCACAAACAATAGTATTATATGTTTTATTGCCATGCAAACCTACAAAGAAGTTACAAAGAAATTTGTCATGCAAGACAAAAACTGTCAATAATTTGTGGTCCCATGAGTATTGTCAACCGCGTTGTCATTCTCAACACAACGTTAGGCCTGGTTTCCATTAAATCGTAATCATCGCAATAGTCGCGGAACGCAGACATCGCTATCGCAAAAATCGCAATAAGTCTATCTTTGCGACTTTGTCGTAAGAGTCTTAGTGATCGGTGTGACTCAAGTTTTTCCAATAAATCGCAGTTTTTATTAAAATTTTTGCGTTTTTAAAATCGTTGCGACGCTTGCGATGCGGTTCTTGCGATAATTACGATTTAATGGAAACCAGGCTTTAAAAAAGCATTACTACGTCTTTCAGGCAACGCGAAAGCTTAATGCGACACAAGAGGTATTACCAAAAGTTGCATCGCTTTAGCCGAACGTGGCATTTTGTAAGGTTATTTGAAAGAGTCAAATATTTATTACAGTAATCGAATTGCTTAGCGCTCATTCTTGAGCTAAAATTTAGACCGCGTCGTTGAGCCGGCCGCGTCCCAGAGCGTAAACTCCCTATTGTTACAAGATGACAACAACGTGTTCCAGACCAGTGAGCTCTATATATATCTGGAGTAAGAACTTCAGTGATTCGGTCAATGAGAAAAATGAAGCCAAGATGGCGGCCATTGACGTCCAATAGCTCTGAAGGTCGTAAACAGTTTTTATACCATTTTCCCCAAGCTAAATCCAGTTTTTTCTAATGGACCGTATCACTAATCAAGTTTTCAGTTCATAAAATCACAATATTATTCTTTAAATCGAAGTCAAAATACGAAATTTCAACATACTCCTTGCCAAGATGGCGGAAATTGAAGGAGCTCTTGGACGTCAGTTCCAGTCCCTTTCTATTGTTTTTGTATGCGCGGTTAACACGAAACTGGCTTCACTTCGAGCAACCAAGTTCCTACTCCAGATATATATGGAGCTCACTGTTCCAGACTTGTCAACAACTGGGAACCAGCAGTGCAAACACATCTTGTTCACAAGCTGTGAGGTTTTTACGCGTGTACTGTAAAAACTTGCAGAAGTTGTGAATGACAAGCTTGTATAACAAGTTGATAAAGTGACATTACATTATTACTGTTGGAGATTGTCAATATTTAATATTTATTGTTATATAGCTAGCGTGAACACCAAACGTGATTGGCTGATTTGTGGTCACGTGACTTCAGATAAATGCAATGTTTCCCGCCGGGCAACAAGTGAAAAATTGTTGCCCACCCCGACCGGCCACGTACATAAATAAACAAAATGGAGGCACAACTCAGATAATTAGAAACTATGATTTTCCAAGTTTGTGTTCAAATAAAGAATATAAAAGAGAAGAAAAATACACAACAGGCAACAGAATATGCTGCTGAAACCGTTTAAGTAGGTTCTTTTAATTTTAAACTCGTTTACACTATAGAGTTTT